ATATTTCTCTGCAGCTCTGTCAGCATGTTTATGATTTTTATTTTGATTTCTTTTTCAGGGAGACTGGATTGGTCTGTCTCGGCAGATCCTCTCTCAGGTGTTGTCTGAACTCTTTTGGACTGGACTACATTTTTTTTTGCCTTTTCATGGTGATAGCAGTGGCTGTAGGCAGGTTGCGGGTGTGTCAGCTGGGAGAAGAAAGTCCTTTCCTGCTTGCTGGATGCCTAGCCCTTCTCTGCCACCTGTTTTGGTTACCCACACTCCTGGGGCAGCCACAGGGTTAATCCCCTAAGCTGCTATGGGAAGGGTCTCCATCAGAGCAGCACGGATCCCTGTGGGGTTTGGCAGGCATGCCAGGTGCACTCCTCTGTGATAGCGGTGCTCCTTCCGGACAGCTGTGTGGCAGCAGCGGCCTTAGGGTCTGGCCCAGTTGGCTGTGCAGTGGGCTGGGATTCTGGTCAGCTGCTGGGAGTATGCCTGCTCCCTCTGGCTCTGCTGCAGGTGCATGCGGGGCCCTCCCACGTGGACGTCTCCAGTACTACTCTGGCTCTACTGCCACCAGAGTGCATGAGCCACACCCAGGCTGTTCAGTTGCTGCTGCTGTGGGCTCACACATGCTTCTCCTGGTCCCCTCTGGCACCATTCTAATATACTTTTGGATCCCTTCATTGTAGGTTTCATTTCACATTCAGTATTCTTAAGCATTTGTATCTCATTCCCGAATTCCTCCCTGATTTCTTGATTATTTTTCTGTAGCTCCATGAGCATGTTTATGATTTTTATTTTGAAACCCATTTCAGGAAGATTGATAAATTCAGTTTCACTAAGATCTCTTTCTTCTGTTTGTGGGATTTTGGTTTGAACCTGGTTCCTTTGACGTTTCAACTTTGTAGGTGGCACCCTCTACTGCCCAGAAGCTCTACTCTCTGCTGATTCTCAGCCTGTGGAGTGGTGACGGGGGTCACAGGTGAGTGGCACTGGTGCCTATTGGGAAGAAAGTGGTCTTTCCTGCTTCCTGGCTGCAGAGCCATCTCCACTGCCAGGGCCAGTGGGTCAAGCATGCAAGTGGAAGCTTCTGTGCTTTGCAATTATTGTTGCCATAAGTGGTGCCACCCTCTGGCTGGCCTGGCACAATAGTTGGGATAGTCAGTTTGTAAGCCGATGCTAGCCAGGAGGAAGGTGAGGCAGGCTGTGTATCATGGTGGGTGGCACCAGAGCTGCATAGTTAATGAGGGAATGGAGCACCTGAGATTCCTGAATGTTCCCAACCTGCTGGGTCTGGAAAATTTTCTCCACCTGTTCTTTCTCCTGAGCAGGAAGTTCAGTGCAATCCCTGTCCCTTTTCCACCCATGTCACCATTAGGAAGTCTCTAAGACTGCCTGCCTTTCTTTGGTCCCAGAGTGGCTGGATGTGGAACCTGTTTTCCACAGGCAGCTGGAATCTCCATCTCTCCAAGTATTCTGCCTGTGTCAGCACTCCAACCCCAGTAATCTCCAGAACACCATGTAATGTAGGTTTGTTCTCCCAGAACAGACCTCCAGGGCTGGTTGTTCCACAGTCCTAGGCCTCCACCCCCTCCCTACTCTGTTTCCCTTCCTCTGTCCATTGAGCTGCAGTGGGAGAAGGCATTTTGTCTCTCTGGATCATGGCTTTGGTACATTACCCTTTTCCTTGAGTTAAGCTGACATCCCCAATAGTAGACAGTCTGCTGCAGACTTCTTTCCTGTTGTTCTTTCAGGATTTGATGGATTTGTTATATCTTCATATTATATATGGTTTTGGGAGGAGGTTTCTGTTTCACCTCTCATTCCATCATCTTTAATCACTCCACCAATTCTATAAAAATTTTCTCTTGTATTGAAATTGTAAATGGTTTTTTTTCATAATTATTTCTGCAAGTTCAGTATTATTATACAGAAACGCAACATTTTAGTGTGCAGAAACGTGTAGCGATATTGTATCCTGCACCTTTACTGAATTCCTTTCTTAATTTTAATTAAGTTTTTTTGGTGGAGTTTTAGTTTTCTAATTATAGCATGTCATCTGCAAATGGTGACACTTTTACTTCCCCCATACCAATTTGCATGTCTGTTATTTCTTTCTCTGGTCTGAGTGCTGTGGCTGGGATTTCCAGGATCATGTTGAGTGACAGTGGTGGGAGTGGCCATCCTGGCGTGGCTCAGCTTCTCACCACTCACTGTGCTGAGTGGAGAGTTTTTCATGTCTGGGCCTTAGTATGTTGAGCTACGTTTCCTTGGTACCCTCTCTGGTGACAGCTTTTATGGGTGAATTTTGAATTTATTAAAAGCTTTTTCTTCAACTGTTGAGATGATCATGTGATGTTTATCCTTTCTTCTGTTAATGAGGTGTATCACATTTATGAATTTGCAGATATTGAGCCATCCTTGCATCCCTTATGTAAATCCTACTTGGCTGTGTGCAATGATCCTTTTAGTGTCCTTTTGAATTTAGTATGCTAATATTTTTCTTGATATTTTCTGGGTGTACATTCCTATGGATATTGGTCTTTAATTTTCTTTTGTGTAGTGTCTTTGTTAGATTAAGGTATTGTAATAATACTGGTCTCAAATAATGAATGTGGAATCATTCCTTCCTGTTATTATTTGAAATAGTTTGAGAATGTTATGGAAAGATACTAATTTTAATGGATGGATTCTGCCACAACACAGTGTTATCGTAACTCCACATGCTCTTTGGGAACACCCTTGTCTTCTCTGAACAATCATTTATCACAAGGAGATGCTGTTCCACCACATATTTCCTTCTCCTGGAGAATGATGATTATAACTAGGAACAGTAATGAGTATATTAAAAGATGCAGAGATGATGTATTTAGAGGGGGAGAACCCTGCAGCAGTTACCTCAATGAGTTCAAAAGGAAGAGGAGAACAGTGGGGGAGTCATGGTGCAGAACGGCTGCTGTGCTGCATTCCGGATGTTCTGAGTGATTAGAGCTTTCACTCCAGCCACACAGCTAAACGTAGGTAAACATCATTGCCCGAAAGCAGTGTAAGGTGAATAATAAACGTTTGAGGGCATCAAGAGAATCCTGGTAACAATGGCACCGTGGGAATCTGATGTCCCGTCATATTCCCTGTACTGGCTGGCTCAGTGTGCCCTTCTGCTGTGACAGAGTCACCGTGCTTAAAGGACTGTCCTCAAGAGACCATAACTTAATGACAAACTACAGAATGGAGAAAGAATTTGTGAATCTTATACACACAGGGATCAATATACAGATTATATATTTTTGAACACCTCATAAATGAACGACAGCAACCCAATATGAAAATGGACCATGAGCATCAGTAGCTGATTCTCCAAAAATATACAAATTGCCAGCACGTGCATAGAAATACGCTCAACATCATTGCATACTGGGTAAACGCAAGGGAAAACCACATGTATATGCTACTTCATACCTGCTTGATTGGCTGTAATCCAACATAGAAAATCAGTTTTGGAGAGAGTGTGGAAAAACTGGCACCTTTGTGCATTGGTGGTGGGAACATGAAATGATGCAGGAGCTTTGCAATAACAGTTTGGTGATTGACCAAATGGCTATGCACAGAAGTACCACATGAGAAAGAAATTTCACTCTTAGGTATGTGTCCCAAAGAATTCAAAGCAGTGAATTCCCAGATATTTCTACATCAGTGTTCAAAATCGTGTTATTTTCAATAGTCTAAAGGTGGAAACAAAACAACTGTTCATGCACAGATGAATGTGTAAACAAAATGTCATGTATATAAATAAAATTGTTCCAGTTTCAACCACAAAAGTGAATCAAGGTTTCATGTGTGCTACAAATTGGAGTGACGTTGAAAACATTTTTCTGACTTAGACAATGCAGACATGGACGGACAAACACTGTGTGAATCTGGTCATGGGAAGCACCAGGCCAGGCACATGCAAGGGAGTTAAAAGAGCAGAGGGACAGCTGAGAGCAAGAAGAGGCGGGATTTATTCTTTAATGGGCCCCAGCTGGTTGGGGATGATGAAAGCCCTGGGCACAGAGAGTGCTGAGGCTCACAGATGTTGTAAGTGTATTTAATGCCAAAGACATGCACTTAGAAATGGTCAAGTCATGAATATGATATTCTGCACAGTCACAAACAAGGACAAATTATAAAAGCAGTTAACTGGTAAATGATTACTAAGTATAATATCAGGGCTGATACAGGAGCTGACATCTATGTATTTAATATTTCAAGAATGATTTCTAACAATTTAAGAGCGAAGCCTGGGAGTTCTGGGGTCCCTAAGGACCAGCAGGAAGGGGCTCACAGTGGGGAAACACAAAGCCAAAACATTACATGTCTGTATCAGCCAGAGCTGAAGGTCTAAAAAGACAGTGATGTAAAAAGTGAAAACCAAATTCATCATGTAGAAGACGACGAAGGTGACCACCAGCATCAGGATGGTGTGGGCGGCTCTGGTCTCTGGGGGGCAGCTGTGGGGGCCCTTGGGGGTGTGAATATGCTGCACCCTCTGGTGATGTCTGCGTAGGAGACCCACCATTGAGCCGCTGGCCCAGACCATGAGGCCAATAAATATGGCATCTGGACATGATGACACGATGCCAATTCTGGTGCTGGGAAATGAAGATGAGCAAAACCACCTGCCCTGTGTGTCGGTATCATTTCCCGTGTTCTGTGCACTAGTGACTTTCAAGGGAATATAGGTATTTGTTAAGGCAGCAAACACCCAGCAGACACAGCAGGAAGGACCAGGGACCCTGGGGGCACTCCTGAGCATCATCCGCTCGGCTCTCCCAGGGATGAGTGTGAAAAACTGGCAGGTGCTCAGGACACAGGTGTAGCACAGGGTGGAGCTGCGAGCCACTCTCTGTGTATAATATACAACTTTACACCCAAGACTGGACAGGGGATTGCTCAAAAGAAAAGCTGCCATTGTGTGGGGAATCCCAGAGGACAGAAGAGCCAGGAGATTGGCCAAGGCCATGTGGATGAGAACCACGTGTGTGGGTCTCTGCTTGTGGCCACGCAAGACTGGGGCGACATTGTAGAAAAAGAGGGTGACATTGGCCAGTGTCCCAAATCCAATCTGTAACAGAAAGGTGGTTTTCAGAGCCACGTTCCCTGTAGTTTGTAGGGTATCTTTATCAAAAAGCATGGAGAGGGCTTCAGGGAGGCCTGGAGACAAAGGGGGCTGTGTTGGTGGTAACGTCAGCAGCCTTCTTATACAACCAGCATTGGAAACGGATCCTTTCCCTTTCTTCTCCTGCAAAGGTAGACACTTCGTCCTCTGTAGAGATGGCTTTACCTGGAGGACATACACCTGATGCCTGTTACTATTTACAACAATATAATTTTGTATTTATTTAACTTTATTTTCTGGTTTTCCAAAATGTACAGTCCTTGAAATTAGGAACCGTCTGTGGTGATCCACCTACTGCTGTTCAAAAGGTGCTCACAGCCTGTCCCGAGTGTGACTGTGCCCCAAGGGACAAGGGCACGTGGTGCTCCCCTGACAGACCCTGGTCACCCTGCCTATTATGCGGATGGCTCACGTACCACCATGAAGTGGAGAGTTCAGAAATATTGCTGAGATTGTAATTAGTTATGAAACTAATTTCGTTACACACTTTGGAACCATAATCCATAGAGTGATCAGATACAAAATAAGTTTACAAAATCAGTAGCTCTTTCTGCTCTCTGGCTTTTCATGTAATGTGCCCAGAACTCACCACTACATTATAACAATAGTTTAACAACCAAAAATATGATAATTCTTGGATCCCTAACAGAGTTGAGGACCCAAGGGACATCATGCCTTGGTGCTGTGAGAGAGGGGAACTGAATAGAGGCCATCAAGGCTTCCTGGATCGGAGACCCTGAGAGGAGACCACCACCAGAGTTGTGGTGGGGGTAGGGAAGCCCACCCTGTACTCTGCAAAGGGCTGGGGGCTCAGTGTGTAAAGTCTGAGTCCAAGATTCTTCAGGGAGACCAAGTAATGAGGGACGAGCTCATTTTGTGAGTTTCACCTCCAGGAGCTGCACCAGTTCCCTCAGCAGATATCAGAGAAATTCCCCTTGTGCTTTTGGCACAGGCGGCGTGAAACCACTTTTAGAAAACAGGAGAGCGTTGAGTTCTCCTTAATAACAGATGCCCCAGGACACTGCTGCCTGGGGCCTCACCCGCTGGGGTGTGATCAGAGCCCACTGCCCTGGGGAAGGGGACACCCAGGCCCAGCCCTTGTAGCCATCCTGTCCTGCCTACAGGGGACAAGGCTGAGAGGTGCCTGTGCAGTTCACAGCCCGGGGGCACACGCTCCCCGGTCACTGAGGCCTCATCCCAGCAGCACAGGTGGTACCTTCACACAACACCTCCCACACATCTGAAAGGATTATGAGAGAAGTTCCTCAACCCTCCACATCAGGTCCACCAGGAGTAACAGTGACAAGGCAGACTAAAAGGCACAGTAACAATGGTTTGGAACACGGAGATCGCCTTAGGTGCAGATGTGGAGGAATGTCAGATTATCAGACCAACGTTTAAAGCGCCTGTAACTGAGATGCCATGAGCTCTGATGGGTGAAGCACACAGCACGTGAGAAGGGCTGTTAACTGAGCAGAGGAACGGAAGGCTAACAACCAAGACAAAATAATGGAGAAAGCAAAACACTGTAAGAGAAACCACAGGGCCCGTGATGGGCCTGTGCATAGACTGAAGATGCCTGAGGCACGTACCACTGAGTGTAAGGACGTGTTGACAGAAACTCCCAAACTGGAAAACAAACAGAAGAGAGATGAGAGAAAACACAGGTCGGAATATCCCCGGACTGTGGGATGAACACCGAGGGGTAACTGCATAGCTGGACTTGCAGAGAAGGAGCAGCAGAGACACACAAGCGCACAGCGACAGCGGATTCCCCCCGGGATGTCAGCACCGCAGCCGAGCCGAGGGACGCCCTGCAGACACCAAGCAGGAGAAATGCAATGAAAACAGAAACCAACACAAAACAAAACCCCCTCAACTCCCTCCACAGATAACATTGGAACGTGGGGGACATCGTGGATTAAAACACTTCTTTAAAATGTAAGAGAAAAAAAACAACTTTCCTACAAAACAGCATGGAGAGGATTTACATCCAATTGCTCCGTGGACACCATGCGAGCAGAGGGGAGTGGAGGGAAATACTAGCGGTGAGACAAAAACCCCACCGACACGGTCCCTGGGCCCTGTGAAATTATCCACCAAAAACGAAGGAGAAGTAAAGGCTCAAAGTCAAACGGGGTTTGGTGCCCTGGGCCTGCTGCGCAGGACGGTGCAGGAAGCCCTTTGGAGGCAGGAAGATGCCGTGGGTCAGAGGCGGGTCTACACAGAGAAAGGAGGGCGTTGGAAGGGAAAAATGAGTTAAAGTAGAATGCTTACATTTCCTACTGTTAATGTTAGTGAGAAGTTGGCTCAAAGTAACACCATCCGCGTTGCGTGAGCCTGGGTTCCCTGTTTGCTGAGCGTCCTTACCCGCCCTGACGGCCCCAGCGCTGCCTCCCCGCCTTCCCCCGATCAGCCCCTGCTGGACAGACTCCTAGGAATTGTCATTTCTCAGACTCTCTTTACTGCAGGGCCCTGAGCAGTTCCATTATCTCTGGGGTGGATGGTCAGCTCCTCTGTGGGAGCAGAGCTGACTCTCAGCCCCGATTCCACACACCCTCTGGCCTCCGGCCAGGCCCCTGACTCCCGAGAACACAGGTGGCCCCTGCCCATCTCCACGTTGCCCAGCCACCTTCCTCTAGGCTGAGGGTCCCTGGGAAGGGTTTTGGTCACACTGACGTGGTGCATAATATGGGCACACACATCGCCCACACGCAGGGCTTCACTTTAAACCAGCCATCCGGGCAGAAGGCAGACATGCCTGCCCTGCACAGACCCTGAGTGATCTCCTCCACCATTACACAGGCCCCAGCACAGCCAGAGCCAGGGGCCCCCATGGAAGGTGGCCTGTGCTGTCCCGGGACCCCACACCCAGGGCCTGCTGCCCAGGGGCCGTCTCCACCCACAGGCACGGGGAACACCGTGCACAGGTCACTCCCCGTGTCCTTGGGCGAGTGAGTGTGAACCGTTCGGGAGAAAACGGGGGACTCTGAAGCCCTACCTCCACCACTTTCCTGAGGACACAGCTGTGCTTCCACTAAAATGAACCAAAGGGCATGTGTCTGTCCTGTGAGCACCGTTTGCCCCATTAGCCTCCTGTCGTATCTGGGGTTGTGACTGCAGCATATGCATCTTGGGGGACAGACATTCAGACAAATATGCTTGGCCCAGGGCACATTCCACCTTATTTCCAGCTACAGTGAAATTAGTCATCTCAGAGGTTATGGGTCAAATTCCTATTTCTCATTAAATAAGAGCCCTGTACATGGCTTATTTCCAACATTCACACCATTTTCAAAATAAACCTCTTCTCATCTCTCTATAACTTCATTCTCCGCCTGCCCCTCAGCTTCAGGAAGCACAGAGGCGGTTTCCCAGTTCAAATCCAGAGATAAATACATGAGCAACACTTACACACAACACAACACACACAGGAACCCCACAGACACCTGGGCAGAAATCCCTCAGATGCTGCATCCCCCCAAATGGGATTTCGAAGAGGAAAATGTGTGCCCACCATCCTCCTGCCCATTCAGGCCAGAAGGGCAGCAGAGCACCTGGCCGGGTGGCCTGTGCTATCCTGGGACCCCAGGTCAGGCTCTGTGTCCTTCCTGGGGAGACCACTCCCTGCTGGCTCCCTGACCGCCGGGAGGCACCTACCTGCAGGCTCTGCTCCTGAGCTTCTGCAGGGACGTCACTCAGGAGGGGCCGTACTTATAGGGCAGGGCTCCCGGACCTGACGTCCCCACGGGGGCGCCTTACCACGTCCTGGCTAGTCCTGGAGACACCATCTGCTCGGAGGCTCAGGGCGTCTCCAGCGAGCAGCGAATCCCACCCCAGTGCCGTCACCCTCCAGCCTGGCGGGCGATTAGTGACAAGTGCTGGCAATTACTGAAAAGTCTCCGTGAGCAGCTGAGCAGAGAGAAAGTTTCCCGTTCCCGTGGGGGCATCCGGTCAGGGTGGAAGCGGTAACCGGGTGGCAGACACGCAGTGCACAGGGCCCCCCTCACTGTGTCCTGTGCTTCCCCTCCGGGTCTGTCCCCGTCCCAGACGCGATCCACAGGGCGAGCTCGCTGATCATCAGCATATGATCTGGGGGCTGGTCGTCCCAGGAGGTTGGGGTCCTCGGCCCTCGCTCCTTAACAGTTTGAGACTGAGATTCTCCCCCGGGTGCAGTGGCCGTGGTCCCCCTCCTGCTCCCCTCACTGCTCTGCGCCCCAATCCCACCAGGGGGCAGGGGGTCCTGTCCTATGAAATGTCCTGGGAACTGCGCTTAACCATTTCAAAAGGAGACAACACACTATCCTGAGAATGCTTTCCTTGTTATGGGTGTGGCCCCTCTTTTATATTAATTCTGAATTAGAACGGGAGGGGTGTGTTTTGTGGTGAATGTGCAGAGACTGTCCCACCAAATACTTAGCAACAGTTCAGTCCTCAGGACACGGACATGGCTGGTTTCAAATACGTTTACTCACGTGTGTACAAGGGCCTCTTACTTTGATAAAGAAATTAATGAAACCTACTCAGAAGTGTTTCCTCATATCACACTCACTGGATCAGAATCCTGTCCTCGCAGTGTTTTCTCAATGACCGGCATTTCCGCGTATAAGTTTGGTTTCACTTACATGTGTTTTCTCTGAAAACAAAACAAAACCAAATGAACAGAACAGCAGGTGAATCAGACGCAGAGAGGCGACTTGTGGTTACCACGGGGGCGGGTCCGCGTCGGGGGCAACACAGGCAGGGGCGATACGGGGGCACAGAGTGTCAGTCATGATATAAATCAGTCACGGGGGTGAACGTGCAGCACGGAGAACGCAGCCGGGGATTCCGTCACATCTTCCTGTGCTGACGGATAGTAACCTCATTAGGTGTGGTGAGGACTGAATAATGTGGAAAACAGTGAAACCACCACGTGGTACATTTTAAACCAATATAATATTGTGTATCAACTCTAATAAAAATATGTATTAAAAAAACTGTATAAAAAGAGGTTTGGTAAGTAAGTCCCAGGCCTCTCCCTGAGGTGCGCACCTCCTTACACAGGCTCACCTGCTCCACAGGAACGTCACCCGCATTCTTTAGATTCCCGTTAACATGCTCTGGGCATGTGACCTTTTCCTGGGACCTGGCAGTGCTTGTAGCTATCGCTTCATCTGTATGCACCCCCTGGCCTTCAGACCCGCCTGCCTG